CCAGCAGGTCAGGTAACTATGGGGACACAGACCGAGGAATTTTTCAAAGCCCCATTGCCTCTGGACTCAAATCCAAACTCTTCAGCATAGCATTCAGAACTGTCCTCTATCTGGCTTCCATCATATTCTCTGTATCAGACTCCGACAAACCCTCAGTTTGCTGCCCCATTCATACTCCCCTTGGTGTTACCCTCTCACGAATATGGCCTCCAGCCCACTTCTTGCATCCTGCAAGCTTTCTCCATCTCTCCGTAGGCAGATTCCTTCAGTTCCTTCTCTGTCTGACTTAGCACGTCCAGTCATGGACGTAGTATGTTAACCATAAGTTCTTATTCTTCATTAGCTTGTAAGCATGTGCCAAATTAGCATTTCTACCAAATCACATCTACCCAGGAAGCAGGTTAGACCAGAGACAGGCTTACAGAGAAAAAAGTGGATACAATCTGAGCAAAATACCTTTCCATCCAAGAAGCACAGTGCCTGAGATCACACTATTCGAGATAAGTTTCTTTGGGTCTAGCATTACGTGGTCTTCTGTGAAGTAACCTAAGTATAAATTACCGCGGAATACAATTCCCTCTCTGACAACAGGAACTAAGCCATGAAAGAAGCAGGTGCATACAAAATAGGGTATAGACAAAAAAAAAAAAAAAAAGGGAAAAAAAAAAAAAAAAAAAAAAAAGAGGAAAGGTCAGAGGAAGGGGACATCCAGATAGCAAATAGATACTTGGCAGAGCTTAGGAATCGTGCATTTAATTGATTAGAAAAGCAGCAATAGACATCACTATCACCGGTATTGCCAGAATTCCATTTCATTCTCTCAAAGAATTTGCCGCAACTAAAGGTTGAAATGTTATTTCAATTGATTTTTAATACATGACAACTTACATTTCCTTTTGCCATCATGCTATTTCCATTGAGAAGGACCTGCCCATAGCATTAATAGATAAGAGAAGCCTATGTGGCTATTTTGTTAAAATCACTTGATAATGTAGCAAATGTCAATGCAGTTTTTGGTCAGTTTGCACCAGAAATGCTAAATACCCACTGCATAATTCCTTAGGGAACAAACTTCCAACTGTTCTTTTTTACAGCAGTCACATGGAAAGGAATGAGGCATAGAAGACCAAGGAGAAAAAAAGTAGCTCAGCCCTATTTTTATTTTGTCAGTGGCCTGTTATATCATATTAGCCACACTGTTTAATCTGCATGGAGATGTCCTCATGTACAAAATTAGGATAATAACACAGCTCCCCCTCAGAGAGAAAATGAGAAATAACTAGCTCAGTGCATTAAAAACTAGAAATGGACTAGTTTAATGATAAACAATGTAAATTAGACAGAGACAGTGTCACAAAATGGCCTCATGTTGAAAATTATTTTATAAACAGATATGGATAATTTTTAATTTCCTAAAAGAAGGCATCAAAATCAATTTTAGAAGCAAATATACTTCGTGACCTCAGATACAAAATAAAAGTTTGTCTTCATTTTGCCCTTTCTTCTGAAATCCATGGTGCAGTTTCTGGTTTTACAGTTGCAATTAACAATCTACCAGTAATCCATTTCTTTCTAGAACGTAAAAATCTGGTCTCATAATGGCAACAACAGTAATAACATCAGGAAACAAAACATGTCCTTTCATTCATTTTGCTTTCTTCTGAAATCCATGGTGCAGTTTCTGGTTTTACAGTTGCAATTAACAATCTACCAGTAATCCATTTCTTTCTAGAACGTAAAAATCTGGTCTCATAATGGCAACAACAGTAATAACATCAGGAAACACAAAATGTCCTTTCCTTCCATGCTCTCATTTAATTAACAGTTTATTTTGCAGGGAAGAAAATGGAGAGTTAAAGAGTTTAAGTAGATAACTTGATCACAGTCACACACTGGAGTCACCAAACTCAAATCCACATGTATCACCTGGTGTGGGTGACTTGGCCCCAGTGTTTCTGGCATGGGTGAGCTTTCCCTCTGTTTTAAGCTTGTTAGGAAACACCTCAACTGCTTGGAGCACCTTCTAACAAGTAGGCACCAGGCTCCTGACATCACTGCATGGTTCATTGCTCACCCTACTTTCCTGTGTTCAGTTCCCAGCTGGCAATGAGTAACGCCATGAACACCGTTCTCCAGCAACCACGTTCCTTCCTTTTTGTTGTTTGGGTCTTTGTTTAGAGCTTTGGGCCTTTGCACTGTAAGAGGATACTGACTGCTTCCTGTGTGTGAGAGGGATTTAGAAAGACAAGATTACAAGTATGAATATCAAACAGAATTCTGTGTGAAATACACCTTAAAGGGAAAACAGGCACATATTCATCATCAGTACAGAATTATAACCCTCTCCTTTACTATGTTGGTTACTGTAATTGACAAGTATATTGCAACAGTATTTAAATACTGTAACATTCTAAAAATAATTTCCTTTGTCTATTAGGTCTCTCTAATTTTTTTCTTTGTGCCAGCACACTCCATGTCAGTTAACAACCATATTCTTTACATAATTCTAAAATATTAGACTGTATGCTAAATAAGTAAAGTCTTTTAAGATAATGTCCCGAGGGAATAGTATTTCATATTATAACTCAATATGCCCTAAGGTAATTATTCAGATATCAATATGCAAAAGAGCAGTATGTTGCAGTGCCCTATATTTCTTTTTATTTTGCTTCTTTGTAACAAGCAATAAATTCAAAGGTGAAAAGGAAAAAAAAATAAAGGAAAACTTTGCAGTTGGTTTTCTTAATAAGATTGTTTGCCTAGGGAGAGAGAAATTTCACTCAGTCCTTTCCTAATTATTCATGTAAATTAAATTCTACAAGTGAAGAAAAATTCATAAAAGTCATACTTACTCATCTGAGAGGGAGATATGGCATATGAATGGGGCCCATAACCTCAGAAGGTGAAATGTAGAAAATATCACAAGCAACTCCCACATTAAGTTAAGTGAACCAAAAAAAGGGAGATTCTTGGTGTGAAGGAGACTTCAAGGATATACTCCTTAATTGCCTCTTAATAGTCTCCCATCTCTGACATGGGAAACAAATCAAGAATTCAGAGAACATGGAATTATTAATCACTTATATTTGATACCAAATGTAAGCACTGCTGGACACATTTTAAATTTTAAAACCTTTTAAATGTAATGTTTAAAAAGGAAGCAGAGAATGTAATTTAATTTTCGAAGACATCAGTATATGGCACATCTTAGCAAAAGTTAATTGTGCATTTTTAAGTATTTTCTGAAATCC